ACCTTTTATTTTATTTGATTTGTATTTTTTTTGTATGTGAATTTGTTTTGTTTTTAAATTAAAATGAATAAACTAAGAAAAAGGAGTGATGGTAGGACTGTTCTGCAGGTACTGTTTAAACTCACTGTGTTTCTATAAAAGACCTGTTTGAGCTATGGTATCTTTATTTTGAAGGGGAAAACATGGGTCAACATTGGCTCCAAACGAGCACTAATTATCCTCGGCTGCATGTGACCCACGTCCTGCAGGAGCTGCAGCTGAGGGTGTAATTACACCACCAGTGTGGATCCAATCAAAATCACTTAAATCTTTACACGCATGATGGTTTTCAATCCAAAACATCAGCTTCAGTGACCCAAAGCCCCTCCCCTTTCACTTCATCCCATGATTTGTGTTTTTTTTAATTTCTGTTAAAAATAAAACGCAGCTCAGTCTGTGTAATCCGACACACCTCTGTTCCTCAGRGCCTGCCGCCACAGGATCTTGCCGATAATAGCCGTCCACACGGCCTTGACCTCGGCAGAGCTGGCCTGGAGTATAAACGTGTCCTGGGACTTCCTGCGACGGAACCAGATCTCAAAGCGAAGGCCGCTGTCGCCGACGTTCTCCGTCATGCCGATCTCCGCCGTCTGCGCAGGAAGCGAGAGGTTAACCTCACCTCGCCGCACAAACGGAGGCGAAAAGGAGGAGGCTCTTACTTTGAAGGACTGTTTGTAGATATAAAAGTCGTATCCTCCTTCTATCTTCTTGGTCTTGCTGAAGAGGATAAGGTCTTCGAACAGGAAGACGTGGCGGAGGTACTTCCTGCGTCCGCACCAGACGATGAACTCGTCCTGGCAGCGCAGCTGACCCTGCTCCTTCAGGTTCACCTGGAGAGGAAACGCACACGTCAGAGAGAACAATGCAGCACAAAGATCACTCCCAGTTCACAAAAAGATTCAGTGACCTCGCTGTGACCCGGGGCTCGTACCTACAACTCTTGTTTCAAACTTACATCACAGCCTCGAATGGCGTCCATGGCCAGCAGGTCGTTGCCGTGGCGAAGCTGAAACTTGACCATCTCCTCTGCGGTTCGGAGGTCGCTCAGCTCCTGCTCCTGGGACTGACTGCACTCCTTTATCAGGTCTTTGAGCAGCAGAGCGTATTTACTCATCCTCTGAATGGGCTTCAGCAGGTAGGAGGCCAGGTCCATCTTGTCTTCCAGCTCCAATTGTTTATTCTGACGAGAAACAACGAGGACATTTTTTATGTCCTTATCTCAGTAAYCCAGGTAGAAAAATCAAAAAGAAAAAATAAGTAGGTCCTCTGGACGGGTTCTCCTTTAATGAACCGTTTCCTCTCTCCTCCAAGAGACTTCTTCAGTCTGA